GATTTTGCACTTTGTCACCGCGCCCTATGTGTCCTATCTTTGTCTGCTTTTTGGTGAACATACCATGCACATCATAAAACTTGCTGTTAGGTGCCCGTACGATACCTTGCTCCAGAAACACTTCAGACACGAAGCTATACAACAAAAACTGATGTTTGGACTTTCGGGATTTATATGTGGGAGGTGAGAGTAATTTCTTTCAAGACTTACAGCGCAAAGTGAGCATTTCGACTTCAAATTTTAAGGTTTTCCATGATGGTATGACTCCATATGATGAGTTCCCCAATACAGCAGCAATAAGAAAGTTTGTGCTTGCTGGAAATAGACTGAACAACGAGTCGGACAAATATCCTGAGTATTTATGGACATTAACTCAAGTCCTGACTTTTATTCATTCGAGTGGGCGGTAAAGATGTCTGTATTTAAGGAATGTTGGAAACAAAATGGTGCTGATCGGCCTACATTCGATGCTATTGCTGTAACTATTGACTCACAAATGGAGGACTACAACGAAACTACGACCCCATTTTGGAAGTTTTGGTAGAAGTACAGGAAAAAAACGTACACACTGTCATTGCGAACAAACATTAACATACATCATATACATTGCAATGAAAATGTATATTTCTAATGTTTCTTTTTGATGCACATTTTGACTGATAGTGATATTATATACCTCTGAATACATTAAAAACCGGAGATAGAGTCAAATCAATGATGGTTAACTATGAACCACATAACTCTGAATAAAACTATGACTAACAGAAAATTTTGCCCGCTATGATCTACATGACCCTCTAAGGTCAGGTAGATCATAGTAAAGAAAGTTAATCTCGTTCTCCGTTTTCTCCTCCTCCTCGCTTCCCTCCTATTCGGGCAAAATTTTTTGTTAATCAAAGTTTCAAGAATTGGAGAATCATTTTGTGGAAAACACTGCAGCACCACTCAGGAAAAAACTCTGTGCCCTTCAAAAAACGTGTAACTTCCTTGGTGACGTCAAAACCAATGCCCTGAAAAGGTGTCGAGATTTACAGGCTTTTACTATGATATTTATATGTGCCATTGGTTGCTGTAGATTTACAGAAATCTCCTATATATATAAAGCAGAAAGTCTGTATGAATGTATGTATGTATGTATGCTTGTATGTATGTATGTTCGGAATACAAATTTTGTATCTGAACCGAAAAGGCCAAATTCTGCACACACACATTTCAGACGCCGGCGGGTACCATAGGCTACTTTGTACAATAGTTAGCCGTTTGATGGCGTTGATTTGCGCATTTTGGGCCAAATTACGTAAATTTTGAAAATGAAGCGATATCAATC